TTCTCCTCCTCCCTTCCTCCTTATCTTCCACCTCCTCTTTATCCTCCTCATCCTCATTATTTCCTCCTCATTATTTTCCTCTTCCTCCTCCTTATCCTCCTCCTCCTTATCCTCCTCCCCCTCCTCCTCCTTCTTCTCTTCCTCCCTTCCTCCTTATCTTCCACCTCCTCTTTATCCTCCTCCTCCCTACCTCTTCCTCCCTCTTTCCCTAACCTTCCCTAACCCACAGTTCAAGACAAATGCCACAAATCATGAGAGTTTGGCATCATACCCAGAGAGCCAAGACAGTGCCACCTTCTCCTATCTCTTTTCCTATCGAAAGGGGAGGGAGTGGGAGAAGAAGGGGAGGGGGCGGGAGAAGAAGAGAAAGGGAGGAGAAGGAGAAGAGGAATAGAGAGAGGAGAGAGGGGGAGGAAGGAAGGAATGGAGTGAGAGGGAGACGGATGATAAATTGGGAATAGAAAGTGTAGAAGGGGAGAAGGAAGAGGACATAAGAAGGGGAAAAAGAAGGAGGAAATATGAGAGAAGGAAGGGAAGATGAACATAAATAAAAAAGAAAGAAGAAATGAAAGGGGAGAGAGAGATTACGAAGAGCAAAACAGATGAAAGGGAGGCGTAGAAAGAGGAGAATAAGGGAAATGAACAATAAAAAGGAAAAAAAAAATTAAAAAGGACAGAGGAAAAGTGGGCGTATGGGGAGGGGTAGGGGGTGGGGGTGGGGGGGAAGGTGAGCTTGCAAAAGAAAGGAGGAAGATATTTTGTGAATAGCGACCCGCATTTCGTGGGAAGACGAGGGTGTTGACAAGTTGCGTTCTTATAAAAAAAAAACGGGGGGGGGGGGGGGGTCTGTTGGGGCCTAAGGGGGCTTGGCAAGATATATCTTTTCTNTGAGACAGTGTAGGCCGAAGCCAGTGAAAGTAGGTTTGCGGTAAATGCTAGTATGGAAGATACCATTGTTGTTAGTGGCCATAGTATCTAGAAATGGCAGGTGAATTTGATGCTGGGTGTTTGGAATTTAGGTAATCTAGAAAAAGCTTCACGTGCAAAGGTGTTTTAAGAGTAAAAAAAGTGTCGTCGATGTATCGACGATAATGCAAAGGTTTGAACTCAGGCGGGCAATGTTCAAGCCATTTTTTCATGATGACTTAGAAATGCATTGGCATACGAGGGACCAAGTGGAGAGCCCCTTGCTTCACCATCTGCTTGCCTATATAGAAAGCAGTCAAACGTAAAAACTGAATGATGGGCTGTGATTTCCAATAATTGTTTGAAGGTAATTGTATCCAAACCAAATATGTCCAGGCTGTTAGCTATCAACTCCGTGGTCTCTTGTAGAGGCACGTTTGTGAATAGCGATTCGACATCAAAAACTTCGCCACCGTGACGGGTTGTTGGAAATAATAGGTCTTAGAGGATTGTTAGGTTTATGAACTGTTTACATTAATTGATGATTTGATAGTTCGGAGTAGTCTATGAAGCTTGTCTTCTAAATATAGCAGATGGGTGGAAATTTTAGTCGTAATCCGTTTTAATTTTGTTTGATTATTGAGAATAGTCATCAACTTTTGTACAAAATCAAATTTGTTTAAAATAACAACTCGTCCCTTGTCAGGTTTGGTAATAACAATAAAATTGTCAGTCTTCAGGGTATGAAGAGGTGGTAGGAAAGCATCTGAGTTCAGAGTTGTTCTAGTGTGGTACACTAATTTACTTTACTGGCAAACCCATTACGGATATATATATATATATATATATATATATAATATATAATATATATATATATATATATATATGCACACACACATATATGGATATATATATATATATATATATATATATATATATATATATATATATATGTGTGTGTGTGTGTGTGTGTGTGTGTGTGTGTGTGTGTGTGTGTGTGTGTGTGTGTATGCTTACACACACACACACACACATGTATATAATATATATATATATATATATATATATATATGTATATACATATATATATGTGTATATATATGTATGCACAC